TCACAAAACGCCCGATTCTGGGAAAACAGCAAGACGGGTCTGGTTTTCTGGACCAACAGAAGGATGGAAGGTGGGAATAGGGTGAGGAGGGAAAGTTAGGAAAAGGAGAAGAAAAACAAAAGGTAAAGGAGGTGGAGGAGGAGGAGGAGATGAAAAAGGAGGAGAAGAAAACAGAGGACTAGAAGAACAAAGAAAGAAGAGGAAGATGGTGAGGTAGAAATAAAGGAGAGGAGAAGGAGAAGAGGAGGAGGAGGATGAAGGAGGAGGAGAAGAAGAAGAAGAAGAATGGAGTAACAGAGTGATGGAGGAAGTGACCTTTAACCTTCGACTCCCACAAGGAATTCAACACACACACACACACACACACACACACACACACACACACACACACACACACACACCTTTGACCCCGGCACAGAGACACAATCCGTCTGCTGTCTGACTCTGTGTGTGTGTGTGTGTGTGTGTTGACCGGATCATGTGACCACAACAACCTTCCAGCTGGTTCTGATCCAATTAGACGTAGCAGCAGCTGGTGTCATTCAGAACCTCCATCAGAAATCTGTCGTTTTAAACCAACATCGACTCTTCTTCTGTTCAAAGCCTGCTTGGGTTCCATAAAGAATCTCATTCAGAACTTCCATTGGAAACGGGCCGATTTAACGCTGCACGCTCTTCTACTTTCAGAGTCCGTTCCATCAGATGTCTGCTGACTGAACATCAAGCCCTTCTTCTTCTTCTTCTTCTTCTTCTTCTTCTTCTTCTTCTTCTTCTTCTTCTTCTTCTTCCAGCTCTAAGATTTGTTTGGAAACTTGCTCATTCTAACGGTCCAACCTGAGTTTTCTTGAAGACAAACACAACCAGAACCTGCATCAGAACCCTGCCAGTTTAACCAGCATCAGGTCGCTCAGAGCTCCCACTGGGAACCCGCCAGTTTAAAACCTCTTTCTCACAAACAAACTTCCACTAAAACCTGCTGATTTAAGTGTAGTCAAGCTCTTTGCTTCGTCAGAGAACCCAGCCGGAGACGTGGTGCTGCAGTCGACCCAGATGAGACCGTTTGTGAACCAAGCATCGGACCGGCTTCAGTCTGAGGTTCTAATAAAACCGTGTTGATCTCATCAGTGTTTCTACTGAACGAAGCAGAAAAATAAAACCCAAGTCAGAGCTTCCATTAGAAAGCTGCTGATTTCACAGTTCTCAGCAATCATCAGAGTTCCTTCAGTATCTGGCGTCTGTGAGGAAACACAGTCAGAAGTCCCATCAGAAATGTGCTGATTTAAGGCCGACGGCGGAGCCACAGCCCAACGCACTTTTTCATTTTCACCGCTTATTCTGCTCAGCTGTTGGTGAAACCTGATACACACACACACACACACACACACACACACATCAACACACACACCAACACACACACACACACAGCTGCCTGAAATTCCACTGTAATGCAATACCTCCGTGTATATGAGTGTGTGTGTGTATGTGTGTGTGTGTGTGTGTGTGAGTGTGTGTGTGTGTGTGTAGTCTAACTATTAAATGTGTGGTCCAGTCCAACTGCGAGTAAAGCTGCAAACTCATCTGAGATAAACCGACTCTATTACTGATAATACTGACTGTGTGTGTGTCTGTGTTTAAAGCTGATAACACACACACACACACACACACACACACACACACACAGTCATAGCGGTCTTTTTCTGTTAACTGCAGCTCCACTGAACGTCCTAACTTTCCATAAATTCAGTTCAGAACTTCATTTAGAAAACGTCCGATTTAAGGTCCATGAGTCTGATGCAGAACTTCATCTGGAAATCTGTCGATTTAACTCTTTCCTTTGCTAATCAGAAAACATAACACAACACTTCTGTTAAAAATCATCTAATTTAAGTCCTATAAACCTTCACTGTCCGTTAAAACAGTTTACTAAATGATGCACAGATCTTTTTATCTTCATCACATCGAGGTTTCCAGTAGATGTTTGGAAATACTGTGACTTAATGCTAACTTTCTTTTCTTTCTTACGCTAATGCTAAACAAATCCAGCTCCCATTGGGACTGTGCTGACTTCATTCTGACTGTTTGTCAAGAAGCTAATGCAGAAGCTCCACCAGAAACGAGCAGATATGAGTCTGATAAGAGTTTCTTCTACTTTATTCTGTGTGTTTTATATAACTACAGAAATGCATATTAACAAAAATAATGCAAATATTGCAGTTAATTAATTTTGTTGTTGGTGTTTGTCTAAGAACAGCTAATGCAGAAGCTCCATCAGAAACTGTCTGATTTAAGTCTCATCAGCTTCCTTTAGAACCGACACGATTTAACCTCATTAAGTTGTTAAACTGAGAACTTTCATGAGGATTCTGCAGATGAAACTAAACAAACACACACACAGACGTTTTTCAGTCTAAAACTTTCCACCTTTTCGTATTTCTTTTGTCCGTGTGTTTGAATTCGCTGCAGACGTTAAACGGGGAGTTTTCCTGATGGACTCTTGTTCTGTCGCACATTAGCGTCTGTTAACGGACTCGTTCAGCCTCATTCAATCTGTCTGCTTCTGACTTTCATTCACAAACACATTAAGGCCTGAAACTCAACACCTGCAGGACTTTCACTGCAGCGCACACACACACACACACACACACACACACACACACACACACACACACACACACA